CTATCATGATCCCAATTCTACCTTACAAATCCGGCTAGACCAGAGGATGTACACTGGTACAGATAGGAACTAGAAACACAGGGAATCCAGGACAGATGATACCTTCAGGACCAGTAGTGAGAATGACGATATCCTGAGAGTGAAGGGAAGGTGGGGTAGAAAGGCGGAACTTATCACAAGGATCTCCATATAAGCCCCTTCCTGGGGGACAGGCAACAGAAAAGTGGGTGAAAGGGGACATTGGACAATGTAAGATATGACAAAATAATAATAATTGATAAATTATCAAGGGCTCGTGAGGGAAGGAGGCGGGGAGGGAGGGGAAACAATGAGCTGATACCAAGGGTTCAAGTTGATAGCAAATGTTTTGAGAATGATGATGGCAACAAATGTACAAATGTGCTTACACAATGGATGGATGGATGGATGGATGGATGGATGGATGGAAGGAAGGAAGGAAGGAAGGAAGGAAGGAAGGAAGGAAGGAAGGAAGGATGGATGGATAGGTAACTGGACAGATGGATGGAGGGAGGAGCAGACGAGGAGTGAGGAGAATGAATGGGAAGACTGAGGGGCTGAAATAGACTGGAGCTGCATGTACCTGCAGAAAGAGCACGGAGTCGCTGATGCTGTGCAGCTGGTCCCGGGTCTGCTTGTCATCGTGCAGCTGCTTCGCCCTTTCCTCCAGAGCATCCACAATCACTTTCGCTTGGTCCACAGCGTCCTGCTCCCGCTGCTCCAGCGCAGCCCTCACTTCTTCCTTCTGCTTCTCCAGGTCCCGCACCAGATCCCTGAAGTTCTGCTCCAGGATGGCCTTCTCGTTGGTGGTGAAGCTCTGGATCCACAGTCGGGGACGGAACACAGGAGGGTGCCGTAAGAATTAAACTTCCCTAATGGGGTGCATCCTTTGGTTCCCAAGTCAGGGAAATAGCATTTCCACTTACCCAACCCTGCAAGCTTCTTTCGCCAAGTATCATTCTCCTCACTCAAAGGTACCATAGAGAGACAACATCTATTGGTTTTAAAAATGCCATCTATTGCTGCCATACTGGGTTATGCATGAGGCTGATAACTACAAGGTCAGAAGTTCAAAACCCCCAGCTGATTCGAAGAAGAAAAATGAGGTTCCTTACTCCCATAGAGATCTACAGTCTCAGAAACTCACCAGGGCAGTTCTTCTAGGGTGACTAGAGGTCAGAATGGATTTGGTGGCAGTGAGATTGGTTTGGTTTCAGCATCCCTTAGTTATCTATGGCTCCTTCCCCGGGCTGGACCAGCATCAGCCATCAGGTCCACCCCTGAGCAGCTTTCCATGAACCCAGAAGGTCACCCATGCTTAAAACCAGTTGCTATCAAGTCAACTCCAGGTCATGCCGACCCCACCTGGGTCAGAGCAGACCTGAGCTCCACAGGGCTTTCGATGGCGGGGGCCTTTCAGAAGTAGATTACCAGCCACTTGGGATGGATTCCAACCCCCAGCCTTTCAGTTAGCAGTCAAGTATGCTGTCTGCAGTGCCCAGGGAGTCCAGGTGTGCTCACTGAAATCAGTTAGAAAATGAATAAGCTGCAAGTTTATGTAGCACAGCCAAGGGTCAGTGACCTCGGATTGTGAATTGCAATTACCCGAACCATGGCGGACGTGTGTCCAACCACACTGACCCCAACCAACCATAAGGGAAATGGCACATGTTTGGCAGCCGGGTAAGAACGTACCGGAGGACAGGTGAGCCTGGGATCCTTATTTGCTAAAACGATGCCAAGTGAACATAAGGGGATGGGCTAAGTCCCACCTGGCTGCCTGGCCCAGACTTGGAAGGGGAGGGAGTTGGCGGGAAGGCCAAGGGGGCGAGGAGCCCAGAAAATGTAAGCTTAAGATACTACTGTGGGTCTGAGGCCTCAAACAGGCTCCAACGCCTTCTTCCTCCTAGGACAGGCAGGACAGGTAGGCGAGGCCCAGCCTAGGAAGGCCTAGGGGCCCCCACCTTGATGCGGTCCTTCTCCTTCTGCCACTTCTCAGCTTCATCCTCGATCTCGATGATCTTGAGCTGCAGCTGCTCCTTCTGTAGTGAAAGCTCCGTCTGCAGGGAAAGGTGCGGGGTGGGCAAGAGTGAGCGCGCGGACGGGGAAGAGCACCCGAGAGTCAGAGGAACGCTGGGGCAGGATTCATCCCTAGGCCATCCACTCAGCCTTTCAGCAAACATCCACTAGGACTGGGGCACGCCAGTGCTGTGCCGGTCATCAAGGATCCAGCCACCAGCAGAGCACAGGTCATCCATATCCTCAGGCCTCCGGGGAGAGGCATCCCCGCAAGGCCTTTCAAAGAACCTCGGCCTGCCTCCTTCCCGCAGTTCCAGCAGGAGGGAAGTGTGTGTTTAGGCTCTGGCTTCTCTGCATGGACCTGGGGCCCTTGCGGAGAGGAAAGGGAGCCCCTACCTCTTTCCAGCTAAAAACATGAAGGGACCGAGCTCAGCCTGAGCCAGCCCAGCCCAGGGAGTGGATCACGGCAATAGCCGAGGGCGATGTTCTGACGTGGCGCCCGCATTACCAGCAGGGACTCTGTCTGGGCAGGCAGAGCTATAAACCTGTTTATGGGAAAGTGGGTGCATTCTGCCACTTTGACAAAACTTTTACTCAGGGACTTTGACTCAGGGTTCCTAGCGGGGGAGAGAAGCCTGAGCTTGGTGGGGTCTAAGGTGGTCCACTCAGCAGAAGCCCATGGCTCACGGCTGCTGTGGGTCCGCGGGGAGGGTAACAAAGTCAAAGAAGGCCTCTCGGGAAAGTGCTAGAACTTGTACTGTCGTGTCCGTATTTGCCTCCCATCTCGGGGAATGCTCTTCTCTGGGAAGCAGCTAAACTGAGGGAAGAAAGGCTCAGGCTCAAGCCAACCCCATCCAGCCACACCAAGAGGCGCCGCTCTCATTCCGCTGGGCTCCCCCGCGTCGGTCCCACCCCTACACACAACAGAACGCAGCGCTGCCAGGTCCCTGGCCAGCCTCATCATGGTCCCCACGCTTGCATCCCGCCTTGCAGAAACTGCCCATCTATCTCCTCGGAGGCCTTCACTGCCCCCTGCTTTCCCGAGCAGGATTATGTGGGACACGTCCGGAGAGACCAGTCTCTGAAGAGCTCCCCTGTAAGGGCGCTCAAAGGACCTTCTAATCGGGAAGAGATGAGGGTGGTCTCCATGTGACAGGCATGAAGACCAAGACCCCCCAGGAAATCTCGGATGGCTCGAGATCTCCCCAAGTAACGCTACAGCTCAGGCACGGGACCCCCTTCATCCAGCTGGGGACCTGCGAGTCACCAAGAGGAGAAGCTACAAGCCACAAGGAATGCGAGCATCATCCGCAAGGAGCCCCTCAGTGGGGCAGAGAGCTTCACCACACACGTCCACCGGGCCAAGGGGACACTGCTCAGAAACCATTGGAGAGCACATGGGATGCTGCTCCGTGGAGCCTCTCCGGCTGGGGAATGGTGCCGGGAGGGGTGGGGAACTGGTGGGGAAGGCCCAGGGTGGGAGCCAGAGGAGGCTTCTCTGACACCATGCCCCCGTCCCCCCTCCCTGCTGCCGACACCCCTGGGCTCTCCCAGCATCTGCCTGGCCCACAATGGGCTGGAAATTCCAGGGCCCAGAAAATGCCGTCACCAGCCACGAACGATGATTATGGAGAGGAAAGGAATAAACAGAGATGGGCCGGAGGTTTGGCCTGGAGAGGATTCAGCTCTCAGCAGACACCAGTGGGGAGGGAGAGAAACAGCAAGGATACGTCCCCCTGGGGATGGCAGCAGGGTTGACCTCAGGCTCCCGGAGGCCACAGAGCGGAAGGCCCAGAAGACAAGCGTCCCCTGAGCCGATGGCCACAAAGACCCCAGATAAGGCTCCGGAGGTGTGAGGAAGAGACGGAGGGTCTAGACCGGGGGCCTAGCCAGGGCAACCTTCCCATCGCGGAAGGACTCTGGAGTTACGCCTAAAGTTGAAGCGGTGCCAGCACCTCCCACCATTCCAGCTGAGACTTCCCAATGCGGGTCAGGGACAGGAGAAGCAGCATGGGTTTCTCAGCCCCCTCACTACTTCCAGAACCATCTCCAGCCCACCTTCACTGCCATCAGCAGACACGGCCCAACCTTGGTAAAGTCCTACGTACAGCGGGCAGGAAGAACAGCCCCTGTCCCCTCCCATCCCCCATGCACACACATGAAATACAGAACAGAGAGGCCTCCCAAGTACAGGTGGCCTTCAGAGAGGGTGTGACTGCCCACCATCTCAGTAATGTCACCTGGTAAGTAGGAGAGCGGGCCCTGCCTCCCCGGGGGCATTGTGAAGATCAACTGAGAAAGGCCAAGCGCTCAGACAGCACATGGGAGGGGCTGTCATTGCGTGCAGACCCCAGGGTGGGTGCCAGAGCCCTGTTGGGTGATTTCTCTGCTGCTCACGGGAAGCGGGGGCAGTGTGGTGGGCGGGGGCAAGAGCACAGGCCATTGAGGGGGGCAGGCAAGGGTGATGCTCAGTGGTGAGGAAGGGGTGGCTGTGGCAGAGGGGCCCATGGTATGAATACATGGTCTAAGGGATGGCAATCCCAGGGAAGCAGGCCAAGAGGCTGTGAGGTCAACTGTGATGCTAAAGGTCAATGGGGAGGCTGAATGATCGAATTCAAGATTGGCCTGTGGGTAGCAGACTTGACCGGAGGAGGGGAGAGCCAGGAGAGCCACTAGTGTAGAGTGAGCATTGCTCAGTGGGAGACCTGTTGAGAGCCACTTGGGGAAACCAGTCTGGGGCAGGGCCTGCAGGAAGACGAAGGGAGGCCTGACACAGGGAACCTGGATTGGCTGGACCAAGGGATGAAAAGGGAGATTAAGTATTAAGTAGGTATTTCAACATGGAAATGCCAGGAGGGTTCTAGAACAATGGAGAGGCAGGGCCCAGAGCAGAGAGAAGCCAGGCTCCTGAGAGTCTGGGGAGGGCAGTGGGGCCACGGAGGAACGGAGAGAAGAGCAGAGGTGTCTGCCAGTGATGTGAGTGAGGAGGAGGGAGAGGTGGTTGATCTGAAAACGTGTGAGGGCAGGGTCAAAAGCAGAGCCAGGCTGTCTGCAGCAGTGGGCGGAAGAAGCAAAGAGGGTGGGGGAGAGCCAAGCCTGCACCCACTTTCCCAGGACACCAGGCAAGCCAGGCAACAGGGCCTGGGAGGGGACCCTGCTCCCACAGCCCACCCTGCAAAACCAGACTTGCAAGACATAGCAGGATCCTGGGAGGCACAGGGTGGCAGGGTGCATGGTGGCTGTGGGGGTGGGGTGGGGGGCTTGTTCTGGGTGACTGAAATGGTCTTCTCTCGCCTCTGGAGTGAGTCTGGCTCCCAGCAGGGAAGAAGAGGCTGGGCTGGGCTGGGCTGGGAGCTCTGGACGCAGCCAAGCATATGGTCAACTTGCGGCTGGGTTTCCCTGCTGGCAGAGGCTGCGTAGAACGGACAGGTGCCGGAGATGCTGAGGCCCCTGCAGCACCAGGAATGCCCCATGACACAGGGAACTAGTGTGGCCCCATTGTCCAGATGTGGAAACAGGGAATGAGTACATGCCTAGCCCGAGTTCTAACCGCTAGGAACTGGGAAGGCCTCATAAATGCCAGGCTCTCCTCTAGATCCTAGGTGCCCGAACCTGGCTTCTCATCACCTACACTACACTACATGGGCACTACAGATCCCTGGGCTCCATTTGCAACCTAACGAGTCAGGATCTCTAGGGGGAGAAGCCCAGGGATCTATAAGGGCACCAGATCCCCAGGCGAGACCACTGATGAGCCGAGTGTGGAAGCCCAGGCTCTAAATCTTCTAGGACACTAGCCTTCCTCCTGCAATCCTGCAAATTTAAGCTCACCTGGCCTCCCCCCACCCCCCACCTTACTGATACCTCAACTAGATGCGTCTACATCTTACACCATTGTCTCTCCCCTTTGCCTCTACAGCCCCTTCCCAGGCTGCCCTAGGGCCTGGCTCTCTCCCCCTCCTTCCTTGGAATGGACTGAAGCCCCTGAGGTAAGACCTGGGCCTCCGCTCTCCAAAGCACCCCTGCCTGTACTTGCTCCTACTCCACCTAGTACCCCATCACTCTGCCCAGGCAGAGTGTCTCTAAATACTTCCTTTGTTCCCTTCTCCCGCTCTCTTCTGGTCCTCCGCTGCTCTAATACTGGGACAGGACAGGCATGGATGGGCCACCAGGCTTCAAACTCTACCTGCCTAGAATGAGGAAGGTTTCCTCAAGAGCAGAGTGGGGCTCAACAGCCGACGAAGCCTCCACTTGACCCGGTCTTCAGGAGCAGGCACACCTGAGCACGCACCTGGCTGCGCTGCAGGATACCTGCCCTTGCGCTGCCTCCCCATCCCGAAACGGGGAGATCGGCCTGCAATCTTTCCCTAACCCAAATTAACTACTTGGGCCATTGGCTGTGACATTAGCCAAATGATCCAGTTAATTGCCAAATTTGTAGTCTCTGACAAATGGTAATTATTCTGGATAAGAATCTGAAATGCTGGATAGATTTTCTCGTTTCCACCCAGATGACAAATAGTCTATTAGATAGTCAGCCTGATTGGAGTTTAGGGCTCCTCTACTTCCTGACACTGCTGCTCGATCCAGGGAGGGGGTACTGAGAGCCAGGGTGAGCCTCCTAGGCAGCCTCCCAAAAAGGGGGGGGCTCTTGGGGAAGTCACTTCACCTCGTGGTGGAATTGGGCCCGATTTCTGATTCCTAACCTGGCTCCTCATTCCACAAACCAAACCAAGCTCACTGTCATCCCGCCAATTTGTACGCGGTAGGACAGGGTAGAACTGCCCCTGTGAGTTTCCGAGACTGGACTTGTTAGGGGAGTAGAAAGCCCCATCTTCCGCCCTCGGAGCAGCTGCTGGTTTACAACTGCTGACCTTGCAGCTCAAAGCCCCAGCTGTAACCACAGGGCCACCGGGGCTCCTTAGAATCCCCGGAAGCAGAGTAAAACTCCACTCCAGGGGCCCAGCCCCTGACATCCCAAATCAGAAGCTGCTTGGGTTAAAACTTGAGAATCTGTGTTTTAACAATTCACCAGGCCATTCCGGTGAATTACTCTGAGGAGTGAGGTTTGGAAACCCCTGGACTCAGCAGAAGGCGCCATGGTGGCACTGTGGGCTAAATGCTGGGTCGTTAGCGGCAAGGTTGGCAGTTCAACCCCACCAGCTGCTCCTCGGGAGGCATATGAAGCTCTCTGCTCCTGCAAAGATTTAGTCTTCAAGACCCACAGTAGAACAGCTTCTGGGGGTGTGAGAAGACCCCCACCCGCACCTCCATAGGAGAAGGTTGCCAGCAGGAAGCGAGAAACATAGATGGCAGGCCCTGCACTGGCACACTGAGTGTGCCGAAGAGCCTGGCCGGCCGGCCTGTCTGGCATCCTTTCTCTTTACTTCCCTGCTTCCTGTCTGGAATCTCTGGGAATGTGCACCCTTTGCTGCTATTGATGTGAATGCAGGCTCCCCACCCCTGCCAGGCTTCACCCCAACACCCCAGAGGCCACCTCCCCTCCTTTTTCACTCATCCTATACCTGTTCTCCACCAATTCTGGGGGAAGGGCTCCAGCCCCCTGCACAGCACCCCAGATCCTTGGACCCGGGTCCTTTTCCTGAATTCCTGTCACAGCAACCTGGCCACAATGAGCTTGTCTGCCCAGACCAGCCAGCTCCCTTGAGGAAGGGCCATGCAAGGGCCGCCTATGCCCCGCAGCTGCTGGTTCCACTTCGGGAGGAATTGAGCAGCAAGAGGAAACACGAAGCCACCGGGCCAGGTCAAAGAAGAACAAGCTGAGCCAAATGACAGAACGGACAGCAGACAAAGTGTGGCCTCTGAGTTCTCTGCAAAGCTGGGAATCTGACCACCTGTCCCTCCTCCACCTGCCAAGTACCAACCCAGAGGGCAGGCGGCCAGTGCGTGCAGAAGCCAGGCCACCCTCCCTAGGAGGGGCTCTAACATGCCCACCTGCTTTAGCAGGAGGG